TTTTGGGGGGGGGGGGGGGAGCGGTTAAAGATTTGTAATTTTTTGGAGCACTACTTTGAGTACTAAAAGTATCCTAATTAACGATGATGATGCTTTGGGTTCAAGCTGGATTGAACACCTAGTTGATGTCAATCTTCTAGATCCAGAACCTAAGGTTTGTTCTTTAAACTTTAGTGCTAATGTCCCGTATCTGACGCACTTCTATGCTGATTAGAGGTTATGGTCTTCAAAAATTTATGTTCCCAAGGGGAAGAATTATGGCATCTTTTCTTGATAATATTCAAAACTTGCCCCTAGCTAATGGAAGGCAATTTATTATTCTATTAGTTATAGTTCATGTCTCTTTGTCTCTTTCTTCTTTCTCTTGCTACTAGATTTTCGCAAGAATTTAAATTAAAAAAATGTGGCCCTAAAAAACCTATACTATAATTTATCATTTATTAACATAATCATCAAAGTTTCTTAAATTTTTTCCCGACACGTACAGTTTCTTAATGAGATTTGAATTATCCGGAATATTACTGAGGCAATTTCTAGTATATGAAATGGAGTATCATTTTACAATATTAGAAATATGATATAGAATCTCCTAGTTTATATGAGCTCTCATGGGCTACATGTTGTCAGATGTTGGACTTATTCTTGAGAAATGCTAATTTAGCTTATACTTGAACTGACAGCAGTGAATGTAGATTTAGTTCACTTCTTGCTCCATCTTAATATTTTTTGTCATAACCCATTCTTACTCCCTTTCTTTGTGCTTATGTTCCATTTCATTACTTTGTTCCTCTATTATGTCGAGCTGTGTAGGAGCTGCTTGTTGACACCCAATTTCTTTTCTTATTATCTTACTCGTAGAAAAAAGAAGTTTGATTATCCTGTTTTGTTTCTATATTAAATAGGAATATGGATAATTTAGAGCGTGCTTGGATGTACGAGAGGTTGGATGGCCGAGGGGGGTATTAATTCTAATTTTGTAACTGGCGTGGATAGCTTTCTCCTGTTTGCACGTTCTCAGCGAAATCGCATGAGTGGTGAGAATGTTCGATGCTCATGTAAAAAATGTTGCAACATTATATACATGGATGTTGAAACAGTTAGATTGCACCTTTTTAAGTTTGGATTTGTTAAAAACTATTCTGTTTGGAAGTATCAAGGGGAAAAAGATGTGACTGGTGTGACGTCTTCTAGCAGTGATCTACATGGTGTTGTTCATATTGCATTAGGATATGACAATCCATACCGACAAATGGTTTTAGATTCAGCTGGACCCAACTTTGGCCAGGGTTCTAGTTGGCAATATTATAGTAATACTGAATTTGAGTCGTCTCATCATTTTGAGCCTTCAATGGAGGACGAGGCTAATCCTTCAATGGAGGAAGAGCCTAATCCTGAGTCTCAAAGGTTTTATGATTTGCTAAAGGCCGCTGATACAGAATTGTATCATGGTTCTCCCTTTCTCAACTCGCAGTAGTTTCTAGGATGTTAAACATTAAAATGAAGAACACTTTATCACAGAGGGGATATGACAAAATGATGCAATTGATGAAAGAGGCTTTACCTGAAGATAACATAATGCTTGAAAGTTATTACCAAACCAAGAAGCTAGTGCGTAGATTGGGTTTGCCGGTTGAAAAGATTGATTATTGTAATTCAGGATGTATGTTGTATTGGGGTGACGATGAAGACCTCACATATTGAAAGTTTTGTGGCTACGAGAGGCTTAAACGTCGTGTTGGTTCACGTAAGAGGAAATTAGTCCCTTATAAAAGGATGTATAATTTTCCTTTGATTCCTAGATTGCAAAGATTATATGCATCTCTTGCTACAGCCGGTGACATGAGATGGCATCATGAGCATATACAAGAGGAGGGGGTAATGTGTCATCCATCAGACTCTGAGGCTTGTAAGCACTTCAATGAAACTCATTCATTTTTTGTTTCTGAACCAAGGAATGTAAGGCTGGGGTTATGTACTGATGGTTTCCAACCATATGGTCAATCAGGAAGAAAATACTCTTCGTGGCTAGTGATTGTCACTCCATACAACTTAACTCCTTGGATGTGTATGAAAGAGGCACACATGTTCTTAACTGTCATTGTTCCAGGGCCAACCAATCCTAAACAAAAAATTGATATTTTTCTATAACCTCTAATAAAAGAATTGACCATGTTATGGGAGGAAGGTGTGGAAGCATTTTACATCTCAAAAAAGCAAAACTTTCAATTAAGGGCGGCTTTTATGTGAACAATCAGTGACTTTCCAGCATATTCTATGTTATCAGGATGGAGTACTGCTGGCAAGTTAGCATGTCCTTATTGTATGAGGAAGCACAATCTTTTAGATTACGTCACGGTGGGAAAACAACTTGGTTTGATAGTCATAGAATGTTCCTTGATCAACATCATCCATTTAGGAAAGATCGTAAAAACTTTCTTAAAGGTCAGACTGTCAAAAGGCTACCACTAGCACTTAGAATGGGAGAGGAAATTTTGAACCAAATTAGTGAGTTAGGGCTAAGAAAAGTAACAGAGGAAGATGCACAAGTAGTTAATTCGAGAATACGTAAATCTTGTGGATAGAAAAAGCGAAGCATCTTTTGGGATTTGCCTTATTGGAGTTCTAACATAAATCGGCATAATCTTAACGTCATGCATATTGAAAAGAATGTCTTTGATAATGTATTTAACACAGTTCTTAATGTTAAAGACAAAACCAAAGACAATCCCAAAGCACGTTTGGATATGCTAACCTATTGCGATAGACCTTAGTTGGCAAAGGATGCTAGTGGAAAATATCCCAAAGTTGCATATACAATAGACAATGAAGCAAAAGATATCTTATTTGATTGGGTGAAAAGTTTGAAGTTTCCAGATGAGTATGTTTCAAATTTGGTTCGATGTCTAGAGACGAACAAGTCTAGGTTATTTGGCATGAAAAGTCATGATTGTCACGTGTTCATGCAACGATTAATGCCTATTGCCTTTCGTGAACTACTTCCTAGTAATGTGTGGAAGACACTTACAGAATTGAGTTTATTTCTTAATGAACTTACTTCGACCACTCTATGAGTGGCTGACATGGAGAGATTAGCAATAGACATCCCACAGATCTTCTGTAAGTTGGAACGTATATTTCCATCGGGGTTCTTTAACTCAATGGAATATTTGCCTGTGCATCTGCCATATGAAGCAAGAATTGTTGGACCTGTATAATATCGATGGATGTATCCTTTTGAGAGGTAAATTTAAAACTTCTATGTCATAACAGTGATAAATATGCTACACATGACTTTTTAATTTAACGGTCCATTCATTTATCTATTTAGGTACCTTGGAACTTTGAAAAAAATTATTGGGAATAAAGCTAGTATTGAGGGATCTATTTGTGAAGCATACTTGATGACAGAGTCAACACAATTATTTTCTCATTATTTTGAACCTCATGTCATGACACGTAATCATAATGTAGATCGGAATGATGATGGTGGTGTTGTGGAAGATCATAAAGGAAATTTATCAATATTTACACATCCAGGTCGACTATCAGGAGAAGCAAAAAAGAGGAGTTTATCCTTGGAAGAAATCAGGGCTGCCCAAACTTACATTCTATTAAATTGTAAAGAGGTTGAGCCATTTGTAAGGTAACATTTGAAAGTTATAATTGCTTAATATAACAAATATTCATATATCAGAAGCACTAATTTTAACTTATTTTGTTACAATGAAGTATGTACGTGGAAAATTTACAAGAAGAATATCCGAATCTATCTCAGGATCAAATAGATGAGAATCTCGAAACATATTTCTCTATATGGTTCAAGCAATATATAAGCCTCCAACAATAATTTAATTTAATACAATAATGTACAAAAATTGACTTGTTAAATTTAACTAAGTCTCACAATTTTTTAAATAGGTCCGAAGCAACCATATTGAGAATGCATTTTTGGGTAGCCTTGCTCATGGACCATTGACAAGCGCGATATGTCATTCAATGTATTTTGTTAATGGATATAAATTTTACACAGAAAGTCATGGTAGCGCAAGATCAACAATGAACAATGGCGTTTGTATATTGGATCCAAATGTTGGTGACTACTATGGTGGGATACAAAAGATTATACAAGTAGAATACCGTGAAGAACCTTTAAAGAATACTGTATTATTCAAGTGTGAATACTGAGGCTCGTGATATGAGTTCAGCTGAAATGATCTCTAAAGCAATGCCAAACAAAGATTTAGTTTCTTGGAACACTATGATTGTTGGCTATACTCATAAGTAATTGTCTGTATTGTTTGGACATTGTTCAAGTTCTTGATAAGTGCCTTCCAATACTTATCTTTTTATGAGAAGATTGTTAGTTTAATGTAGCAGAGCAGTGTTAGTGACTTCTCTGCATTTTTGTAAAAAAAAACTGTATGTTCGTCATTATCCCTTTACTGTGCGGGTGAAATGACTCAAATGCTGTTCTAAAGCTTTTAATTTGTTGTTGTGCATTCTCTTTAATGATCTCAATCAGATATTCGTAGCACATATGGAGTCCGGAGTAAGCAATAAAAATAGGTGTTCTCCGTTTGAAGTATATCTGCAGTGTTGAATCATTTGAAGTATTGTGTCGGGTGTCTGCTTTTGGTGTCAAAATGTCATTCTTTAGTGTAGGTGATTGAATCTGTATATTCAGCAGTCTACAATGTACCTCTTGCACGATCAGTCTGGTACATCTTCAATACCCTTTTAGTTTGCTAAAACACTCTACAGTTCTTTTCCTACCATATGTGGTAGATAGTTCTAGCAAGTATCAACCTGTGTACCTCAGATTGCAAGCGCCTTTCATTTGCATGTGATGTGGTCCATTCAATTTCATCTCTATATTCTTTTAGGGGTCGTTTGATAGGGTGCATAAGAATAATGCTTAATAGGGTGTATTAGTAATGCTGGTATTAGTTATGCTTGCATTAGTTATGCTAGTATTAGTTATGCTGACATGTTTCTTATCCATTATTTGGTTTGATGTATTAAAGAATTGTACAATTTCTAAAAAAATTGCTTGTTTACAAAAATGCCCTCAAAACCAGTTCATCACTATAACTTTTTAAAAGAAACATATGTTGAGAAATGTTTTTATATGAAAAAGTTTTAAAAAAAATATTTGATTTGTCTACTTATATTGTAATATAGAACTAAATATTTATTTATAAAAAAGGAAATATGCTAAGTATTTATTTATTTACTAGAGATATAATTTTATTTCTCACTATTTGGATTATTTTAAACGTGCATTAATATGATAACTAGCATATTTTAATCAAACATAAATTTTAAAGAACAATTTTGTCTTTAACTAAGTTAATGCATGCATTAAAACCCATTGCATTGTTAATACCATGGTTTTCTATATATTAGTTATGCATAGGATAATACCAAATAGAATGTATAACTAATACTTGCATAATTAATGCATTGGTTCAAAATATATATCAAACAATGTATTATTAATACACAAAGCTAATGCATGCATTATTTTATCTAATGCATCCAGTTCTATTGATGCCCTGCCATACTAACAGCTTCCTTTATATGTTTGTTGAATAGTTGCATTAAAAGAACATGTGTTAGTGGTCCTCCCTTACGTCTTCACATAGTGGCCATGTTGTACTACGTTGCTACCCCATTTACTTAGCATGTCTCTGTTGTAAAGTCTTTTCTAGATATCAAAATACATTATAAATATCCATTTGGGACTACCTTGATTATTACATAACAGTATCTTCCAGGTTGCCTTTGGGAACTCTCCTTTTAGCTTATCGTACATGCCTCAAATTCAGTAGTTTTCGGTATTCAAAACCTATTGATCAGGAGATTGAAGAACCTTACTTTACTCAATTTGTCTTTGTACAGTGACGTGTATTTTTCGTAGATGGAGTTAACAGTGACGTGTGACAAAACTTCTGGTTCTACTATAGTAACATCCTTTTAAAAATAATTTTTTTTGTATAGGCGATTGAAATGGGTCGAGATCCAACACCAAATGAGTTACATTTGTACGTCCATACTGTTACGCAACGCCTTCCTGATGTTCTTTGGAAGGGCAACGTAAGGCTAAGCAACCGATGTCAGTGCGGTTGCTGTCCGCCAATGAGGTCCTCACCGCACGCTAGACTAGATTGTCAGTGCCGTGCGGGAAAACCAAT